GAATTTTGAATATGAGATGAATATAACTTTATATGAGAAAATGAATTGCTAAATTTTTGAATTTTTAATTTTATGAAAGGTTAAGGTCAGTAGTAGGTAGGTGAATTTTTGGGCTATCTGGGAATTATTTTAAACATAGATAGCAAGGTATTGGGTGGGTGAAGAAATTTGAAGAGGGGATAACATCTTAACCTCTTCGGCCAAGCTGCTTCAACCATTTCTTCGGCTTTTAATTTCATTTTGTTTAATATTTTTTTTTGTTTTGGTCGATATTTAAAGTAGCTACCTAACTTTTAGATTAATGTGGTGAAACTAAGTCTTTCTGGGAAGGGACAAGAACACCATCCCAATTTCCCTGAGCACGGCCGGTACATTTAGGTAGCATAGCCCTTTTCAGTTAGAGCCATAGGTCAGATTCGTTACAAGTGAATGAATCGAAATTATCATTACCTGTATATTTTTACCTACATGATCATAAACGAAACAGAGCGAAATGATCTGTCGAAAAAATTTAGGTAAAAAATAGTTATAAATTTTTTAAAATTTAAGTATAATAGGACCCTTCAATTATAAGGATAAGCAAACAAATAGAAAATAGGTAAATATAAGATTTAAATATGTTCTGTCATACTTAATACTAAAATATGAAAAAGATGAAATTAAAGGACACAGGTTTAAATGAACATATTTTTTAATGTAATTGAGATATTGGCTTGAAAATTTTTGTAAAGAATCGAGAATTTCCATATCTAACTAAAAAATGATATTAAGGGATAAATATGGACTAAATTGTTGTAGCTATCTGCGACCCTATTAAAATTTTGATGTGAATCATAGTTTTAGAAATTAAACAAATATGTAATATATGACAAAATCTTTATTTATGAACAAAACTCAATGAAATTTTCAACGCTTGTTAAATTTGTCATTTCAAATAAGAAAATGCAAAAAAAAAAAATTGAAAAGGTCAAAGGGCATCCCGCAATTCCCAAAAATAGGAATGAAAATCCCAAAAATGGGATTTTTTACTTTTTTGCCCATAGGGTCCACATTTCTTTCAGGGCTGGGAAAATACTTTTGGAGTAAATAGAAAACATATTGAGGTTTCCAAAACTGCTTTCAGTTTTCTGATCCCAGCTTTGGGATTTTAGAACATGTCGCCCAAAGTTGATGTTTTGATAAAAAATAGGTCATATTCGGAAGGACACAGTGGCAACATTTTCAAAAAATAGGACAAGTTTTTTACGCCAAAGCGTTCTGCGTAAAGATACCTTTTAGAAAACTATAAAATTGTTATATGTTCTTAAAGAAAATTTTATTTTATTAATAAAAGAGTTAAGACACATTTTTGGCAAAAATCTAAAATTTTTTGAATTTTTAAATTAAAAAACGTATATTTTTGGATCTGTAAATGATGTTGATCTGAAATTTTTTGTATATTATTGGAAATTTTGTTGTCTAACTAACATTGAGTCCATTTGGTCCAAAATTACGCCCGGTATTCAAAAAAAGGCGGACCAAGGTATGGTAAATTTTGTATCACTAAATTTTTAAATGCCTATAACTCGGATATTATAAGAGATAAGTAGTATGTCCAAGCATTTTTTTCTCGTCGAGTGCTTTCACAAAATATAAAAATCTTTGTATTTGGGTGAAAAACAAAAGAATGGCACGAGTTTAAAAATTTTACATGTAGTAGGTACCCTACTTTGAGCCGCCACAGCGCCGTCCCTGGAGCATCTGCAGGGTTCATCTTCAAAACTTAAACTCGAATACTCCTTGGCTACGCTCACGCCAAATTTTATCCCGATCGGATCAGCCGTTTAGAAATGCCAGATTTATTTCCAAAAAATTTCCATTCTGCCCCACTGTGCAGTTGGATGCAGCGAATATAAGTGCTTCCGCAGATTTGAGGACCCTCCGCCTGAAAAGTAGACATTTCAATTTTATAATATTGTGCCAATTGTTTTTTTTTATTTTTATTTTTTCACTTTTTAATGTCTCTTTAATTATTTTTTACTTTGGTTTGACACTTGTACTTCTTAAGAGTTGCATTTTTAATGTTGAGCTGAGTTGTATATACAAAGAGCTGTATCTTTTATCTCTCTGAAAGTATTAAGTAACTACTTTTTAATATTGAGTACCCAACAAATTTAGTAAATACTCGATACCCACTACTCAATACTTTAACAGCACTACAACCTACCTATCGAAATTAATAAAAATAGTTAAAATAATTCGTATAAAAATCTTAAAAATTACATCAAATTTGTATATTATCTAAGAAAAATAGCTTTGACGATTTAAAGACGATTTCGAAAAATCAGTTGATGATTTTGACGATTTTACACCCAAATCATCTAGCAACTATGGTTGTACTACAAATATTTTTGAGTTTTTGTTGTTACTTAAGCCCCTTTCAGACGAGCACACAAGTAATATGATCTGCCAAAATTTTGTGTAGAAGAGAACGGATGGGATCGTCTAAACCAACGGTGGCCAGAAAGAGAGTTTTTAAAACGCATATGTGGAAGTGTAAAATACAAAAGAGAACATACCCAGCGGTTCGACAAAGAGTCAATGCATACGTAAGAGACAGTAATTTACACTAATGTGTAACCACATGGTTGACCCTAATTTCTATATATTGGGTTATTCGTCACCAATGTACTCTTCGTAAACGAGAGGGAGGACATTCGTTACTTTAGGTACCCTAGGTAAACGAGTGAGGGGACATTTAAAAATTTTTTTCCATTGTACTTCAGAATGTAGATATTTTGCACATCTATTGGAGACACAATTGTTATTTTCTACTAAAGTCTAACCAGCTGGTTGTACCCTATTTGAATGTTTTTGGTCATTCATCGCGAATGTACTCTTTGTAATCGAGAGCGAAGACAGCCGCCACTTTACTGTACACCAAGTAAGCAAGAAAGTGGCAGTCGTCACTTAACTTTCTCCCGAGTAAACGAGAGAGGGGACACTTGAAAAAACTTAAGAATTGAAAGTGATGAGAAGAACATGATCAGTTTTGTCTGAGTACAAAGACAATGAACAGTTATACTATTTCATCACTTTTTAAGTTATTTGATTTTTATGTTAGTTGCCTTTAATAAGTTGTTTAAGACAGTTCTCGCTAAAAATGTTGTTGAGTGAATTTAAAAAAAATGTTTTTTAATTTGATTAAAAAATAGTAAAATTTAAATAAGAAATATTTACAATTTGGAAGAGTGAATTCATTTAAGATGAGTTCAAACAAAAAACTTTATCAGAGATTACTGAAAAAATAATCTTTCCTTAACCCTTTCAGGGTCAAAAATAATTTATGCCTAGAAAAAAACTTGAAAACTTATATTTAAGATAATTTGAGTATGCTGAATCCGGGAAAAATAATATTTTTTGAATTTGAGTTTTCCCTAGTGAGTTATAGAAGGTCAAATTTAAATGTCGAATATATTCGACATTCGAAAAACAGTCTCCAAAAAGTACCACCAATATTTTTTATGAATTGTTTTTGTAAAATGTCTTCTTAAACTTCTTTCAATACAATACAATTTAAATCTGCATAGTCCGATCTCCTAAAATACAATTTTTTTGGCCATTAAATGAAGCTGTTTTTTAAACGTTGTTAAAAAGCACTTTTTAAAATCTGATTTTTAAATACTTTTTAAATACGGAAGATCTTTCAAAATCTCAATTATAAATATAATAAAGTCTTCATTTTCATCTAAAAGAAAAAAATTAAAACTAAAGTTAAATATTATACCCAAAAATGCTTAAAAACAGAGTCTATTGTAATGTCGAATATATTCGACAAAACCACGGAAAGGGTTAATATAACAAATTCTATTCTTTCAGAGTCATTTATGTGTATTAATGAATTCCAAAGTTTAAAAGTACGATTTTACTGAAGATACAAATGAGCAGCAATATTAAAATTATTCATTTCAATATCTATTTAATCTAAAAATAAAAGTATTGTTTTTAATTGTTTTTTTTTATTTTTCATAAGTTTTTAGAGTTGTACTTCGACGGACTACCTCGTAGGACAAGCCCATGTTAAAATGGTTGGTCACCTGGGTAGTCGGGTGGCTAGGGGCCACCATAAGTGGTATGTCAATTGCTTAGTTCGGGACCGTCCCGTCGAACTGCTGGGCAAATGAAAATATGTGTGATTTGCACTGAAAAAAATTATATGTTTGTACTTTGTTTATTCATATTATTTGTATTATAAATGAATAATGGAAGGAATGAATATCTCGATGGATGTATGTGTTAATGAAAGCTTGATGCATGGATTTATGCATTAATGTATGTATGTATTGTTGTATTTGATGTTTTATACATTAATGTATGTATGTATTAATATATATTGTTGTTTGTATATGTATTGTTACATGTGTCTATTAGGTATTCAAACGATTAACCGTCGATCAGTTAACCGATAAAATTTTGGCGATTAATTGCTTGAATAAATGAAAATACAAATATAATTATAAATCATTATTTGTCTAATAAATCTATCAAAAGTATTCATAAATATAAACATTTATTTGTAACTGCTTGTTGAAATAAAAATAAAATTATTACAAAAAAGGGAATTTTAAAAATCCTAAAAATACAATTTATATACATATTTTAAATCAAAAGATATATTTTAAATATTAATTTACTTCAGTATAGCTTCCAATCAATTAATTTATTCCTTCGTGATTTTTCGGCAACCAGATTAATACTCTTAACGATACCATTTGCCATGTATCTCTTCTTCTTGTACTTGGGTAACTCATCACTATATTACAATGATTACTCAAAAAATAGTCGGTAGCTTTAGAGTTGCCATGTCTTTTTAACACTCCCCCCCAGTATATCCTTCTGTGGATCTACTTCGTTATCAATTGAAAGCACGGCAATCTTAGCGGCAGGTCGTTCATATACCCCAGTGGCAGTTTTTACGGAAGCGCTTCGAACTTGTCCATCAGGCCCAATTTTGACATCGACTATTTTACCTTTTGGCCAACAATTTCTGGGTCAACGATAAATACCACATCTCCAATCTTAATAGGCTTGACGTTTTGAAACCATTTGGATCTGCGAGTAATCATTGGCAAATATTCTCGGACCCAACGTATCCAAAATGAGTCTGCCATTTGCTGGGTGGCTCTCCACCCACGCCGCAACATGGTTCCGTTGGCTTCAGGGAGTGCCAAAGGTTTCATACCGTTAGAGCTACCGTGGAGGAAGTGGTTGGGTGTCAAGGACTCAGCTTCTTCATGTTCGATTGGAATGTAAGTAAGAGGGCGTGAATTAATTATGTTCTCAACTTCAGCAAAGGCCCCTCTTAAAATCTCATCAGTGAGTCTATATCTTGGTAGAACAGATAATAGTGATGATTTCACCGACCTGACTAGACGCTCCCAGGCACCTCCCATATGTGGGGACGATGGTGGGATGAAGTGCCAGGACATGGACGAGTTAGTGAAGGTTTTAACAATTTCATTTTGATCCAACAATTGAAAGGCTTCACTCAATTCACGTTCAGCTCCACGAAAGTTGGTGCCATTATCACTCCACCACTCCCGCGGGGTACCCCGACGAGCAATAAAACTTCTTATGGCGATTATACAGGATATTGTGGATAATGAATATGCTATTTCGAGATGTACGGCCCTAGTTGTTAGACAAGTAAACAACACCCCATAACGTTTTTCAGAGCTACGACGTATTATGACAAATAAGGGACCAAAATAGTCTATGCCTACATAGGTAAACGGACGGCAAAATGAAGCCACTCTGGGCGACGGCAGAATGGACATCTTTGGAGGCTTTGGCTTAGCATTTTGAATTATACACATTTGACACGATTTTCGAACCTTTTTCAAAACACTTCTAAGTCTTGGAATCCAAAAATACTGTCGTATCTCATTTATCACAGTTTCGTGGTTACTGTGAAGATATGTAACATGATGAAAAGCTACGAGAAGAGTAGTGACATAGTGTTCTTTGGGTAGTATTATTGGGTCCTTGCGTCCACTGATTTGCACTCTGCTTCCCAATCGAATTACTCCGCTGTTATCTAGGTATGCTGACAGTTTATACAAATTACTGGATGGCGTTATGGGAAGATTTCTACTCAATAGCGTTAACTCATCTCCAAATACTTCTGCTTGGGTACATTTCCAGATCACGATTTCAGCGGCAGCTATATCTGCTTGAGTTTTTAAATACACAACTTTTTCCCCTTTAACCTTGTTTTTTATTATTCTAGCTATCTGTAGTAAAGTTGAAGTTGCACCAACAAATCGACTCCATTTAGAAAAACGCTCCGGATTTATAGGAATTGTAAAACTTGATACCTTTCTGTGAATTCCAATATACTGTGGCCTTAACTCTTCTAATGTACCATCTTCTTTTGTTTCCTCGTGCCATGAAATATTGTGCCTTTGAAGAAACTCAGGGCCGGTAAACCATCGACTGTCTCGAGAAAAGTGTGGTGTTTTCTGCCACTTTGTCGCTTCATCAGCTACGTTGTCCATAGACGGAACCCACATCCATTCATCCACCTCTGATAGCTCAAGAATTTCACTTACCCTGAAGGCGACAAATTGAAAATATTTACGGTGGTCCGACCGTATCCACGCTAGAACTGTTTTAGAATCTGTCCAAAATACTTGACGATTGAATTTCAATTTAAGGGATGAAGTCACATTTTTTGCAAATCGAGCTCCTAGCAATGCAGACTGGAGTTCCAATCTAGGAATGGACATTAATTTAAGTAGAGCCACCTTTGTTTTACTTCCAATAAGACTGCACTTACTTCCACATCCACTATCGTACCGAATATACAACACAGCTGCAAAACCATTTTCTGAAGCGTCAACAAATGTGTGTAGCTCAATACCATTTCTTAGCAAAGCTGTATTGTGAAAGTAATATCGCGGTATGTTTAGTTGTTCGATGTTGTGTAAGTACTGACTCCACTTTAGCCACTTGGTGTATTCCGCATCTTTAATATCCTCATCCCAAGAACAGCCACTACGCCAAATTTCTTATAAAATTACTTTGGCATACATGACGTAAAAACCAACTAGCCCATAGCTTTATCTACATCTAAGTTTAAATCATCTGGTTCTGCGTTTAAGGCTTGTAAAACATTTTTCGAGTTCGATCGCCAATTTCTAATGGTAAAACCTCCCTGAGCGTGTATGAAACGGACATCTTTTGCCAATTGTACAACATCTTTTTCTGTATCTGTGCCGTCAAGTAGATCATCAACGTAGTGGTTGTGAACGATAGCTTCCACCGCCCTAGAGTAAGTAGTACGAAATTCTTCTGCGTTAAGGTTTTTTACGAATTGGGCAGCGCTTGGCGAGCAAGTTGCTCCAAAGGTCATAACTGTGAGAGCACATTCGTTGGGCTCCGCTTTTCCTTTTTCATACCATAAAAAACGCTGATAGTTTTGGTCTATTTTGTGTATTTTTACCTGATGGTACATCTCTTTAATATCACCACTTATAGCAAAACGGTGTTGACGAAATCTTCTTAGGACGTCGACTAAAGGAGAAGTAAAGTCTGGACCCTTCATTAGCATTGAGTTGAGCGAAACTCCATTCACTTTGGCAGCTGCATCCCACACAATGCGTAGTTTTGCTGGTTTACTGGGGTTAACGACAGGAAAAATTGGTAAGTACCAACTGTTTTTTGACCGGGCCTTGTTTGGCAGTGGAACAGCATAACCTTTACACAGGTACTCTAAAATTTTCTCTTCCATAGCTGCATACAACTGTGGATCTTTCGCCAACTTCGAAGAAAGGCATAAAGCTCTCCTCTTTGCCATGGGAAAACTATCAGGAGGTGCTATTCTCGGTTGTTTCCACAGCAATCTTGTCTCATAACGGTCACCCAACTTTCGTGTATTCTTTTTTAACAAATTTAAACCTTTTACATCTTCCGCCGATAAGGTATTTTGGCTATTTTTGGCTACATCCATATTATCAAGCAAAATATATCGCTTTACGGTTCGTAGCAATTCTTCGCATTCATTAGCATCAGTACAAGTGTGGAATGCATTGAGTCCGACAGTATCAAGTTTAAATGTACATGGACCCTTCACTGACCATCCGAGACGAGTTTTTTCAGCAACTGGTTCGCACACGTTTCGTTCACGTATTTTCATGCTTGCACCCAACCAACTGTTATTCAAACCAATTAGAAGTTTAGATTCTTCATCAACATATGACGATAGTGGAATATCTTTCAAATAACTATATTGCATCTTGAGTTCGGCAACATCAAGGCTTTGCTTTGGTAGATCTAGGCTCTTTACGGTATGTACATTGTTTAAGTCAAGAGCTTTTTTATAAGGGTCGCCCGCTATTTTTAGATTAAGCACTTCAGAGTCCTCCTCATATCGATGAGTGTCACCTGTCCATTTTAAGCATAGGGGACTAGGTGTTCCCTTCAAATTTAGATCTCGAAGTAAGCTGTCTTCCATTAATGTAAGTGATGAACCATCATCGAAAAAGGCATATGTTTTTATTTGAGTACCGTTCCCATACAATATAACTGGAACAATACGAAACAGTACCGCATTTTCTGGTTTTCTAACAATATTACAAATCCCTAGTGTATTCTTATGGAGAAGGGGATGATGTAAATATTGACAACCATTTATACCGCATAGCTGAGTAGATTGGCATTCTGCAAGATAATGGGGTGTTAGGCATCTTCGACACAACCTGTATGTGCGTACTAATTCCCATTTCTTCGACCTACTAAGGTTTTTGAAACTTTGGCATGAAGGTAGGTTGTCACATGCGTTACCACATGCTATACAATTTGTCTCGTTCTCATTCTCAAAATGTGTATTAACGTTTCCACGTTTAGTGGGTTTACCACCGTAACGTTCTGGTACTATAACACTGTTTGCGCCTTGGGCCAACTGGAAAAGCCACGAACCAAAATTTTCAAGGTTACACGAAGATAGAGAGAGCTTATGCATTCCCCAAAAGGCTGCAATAATTCCGGGAAGATTAAGAACCAGTTCCTGTTCAATTTCCGGATTGTTTAAATAGTCCTTCAAATTAGCTGATTTCATTGTGGCGATTACATTTTGAACCTCTAAAGCGAAATCAACCAGGGACTCTAATTTATTTTCTTTAATAGGCGACAACTCTCTTACACGTTTCAGAAGAATGTTAAGGACTATTTCTGGCCTGCCAAATTTAATTCTTATGGTCTCTATAATTTGCGGTACGCAGGAAGCATGAAATAGCAAATTCCGTACAGCTTTTAATGCATCACCTTCCAAAGAATTTCTAAGACGTAACAAATTCTCGCTATCACTAAATCCACATATCTCTGTTGTTTGTTGGTACGTTGCAAAAAATAGAGGCCAGTCCTCTGGGTTATCATTAAATTTTTCCAAGTCTCTTGCAAAACTTTGTCTAGAGGCAATCTGTTCACGTGTAAGTTTGGTAGATATGGGGTTGTGGTGTATTTTCGTAGATACCTCAGGAACGACTCCAGGCAACCACTGAGAAATAGAACACGGTTCCTGAGATACATTACCTTTCAGCTCTAACTCACTTAGCCTGCACGTCATGGTGTTGATTATACTCCTCGTCGTCGCTACCATTCTCCATTTGTTTCAGCAACTCTTTCTTTTTATTCAGAATTGTCTCCTTTTGCAGTAATAATCGTTCTTCTTCTTCTAGTAGTTTCATCTCTTCTGACAAACGTTTTGCTTTCATGGAGTTCTTTGAAGAGACTGACAGCCTTCTACCAACATCATCCTTGGACACTCTTGCAGTATTTTCTTTATTGTTATTAGACGGCACGTATAAAACGGAAGATACGAGATTATTGTTTGTAACCTCTTTACTTTGTTGTAATTCTGCAGCCGATGAAGTTGACATAGCAATACAAGATTTACATATCCATTCTATATCTGCAACTGCTTCTGTAACACCTACACAGGAGAAATGATACCAGCCATCACATTTATCGCAGCACACAATTTCATCATTATCAGGCTCCACGCATAGTATACAGCTCATATTCGAATCTTCTTCAGTAGCCGCCATCTTATAACTATCAAATGTTATAAGACGAAAAATGAAGATTTTTAAAAAATGTTGAAATAAAAGAAGGGAAGCGCTCAAGTTCAAATCAATTCACTTTATTACAAAAAAGGGAATTTTAAAAATCCTAAAAATACAATTTATATACATATATTAAATCAAAAGGTATATTTTAAATATTAATTTACTTCAGTATAGCTTCCAATCAATTAATTTATTCCTTCGTGATTTTTCGGCAACAAGATTAATACTCTTAACGATACCATTTGCCATGTATCTCTTCTTCTTGTACTTGGGTAACTCATAACTATATTACAATGATTACTCAAAAAATAGTCGGTAGCTTTAGAGTTGCCATGTCTTTTTAACACTGCTTTTGAAAATATTCTCTGTGTATAATTTCATAGAGAGAGCAACTAAACTAAAGCTACGTTCACACCTATGAAATATTTGACGTTTTTTATCAAATATTTGTTGGCTGTAATGTGAGCACAAAATATTTTTGAAGACCAAACAAAATATCAGCTGTTTTTCGTGAAACATTTTTATTTGTCAACCTACAAATATTTTCCCAATATGAACACAATGTGAACACCAAACACGAAACATTTTTGTTTAACGTTAAAAATATTATTTAATTAAATTACAATAGTTTTTTACAATTTCATAGAAATGTCTGCCTAAAAACAAAAAAATTAAATACGTTTTTATTTCATAATTTGCTTAAAATGAGTATTTCTGTTTTGCCGTTTTGTTTGAAGAAGCAATGCCAAACACAATTCAGTACAAATAGTGAAAATTTGTTTGCCCGATGTTCACACTACAACAAATAATTTCTTAAAACAATTGATGGATAAAACAGTGGAAAAACGAGATTTTGTATGCAGGCAAAGAGGAACATAACAAGAAGAACAGTTAATGCGCAACCAAACCAAAAGCCAAAAATATATCTGTTTATATTTACTACAAAGATATATCATTGAATAATAACATCAATTTATTCTAAAATTTCATTTAGTATTGTTTTTCAACAAAATTTTACCACAAAAAAATACAAATTACATTTCAATACCTTGTGCAAGTGAAAAAGAGCCAGATGGTGAACTGTCATGTTGTTGCTATTTAGTATAGTCAATGTAGCGAAAAACCTTGGTTGTTTGGAACGGTTTATAGCTATTTAAAAAAATCGCTACAAGACGGGAAATAACCAAGTTATAAATTACTTTCATTAAATTATCTATAAAATTTAAAATTATTGAGAATTGTTTATTATTATGTTATTATTATATACTAGCTATACCCAGTGTACTTTGCTACCCTAGAAGGAATATGTAGAAATAAAAATCCCACTTAACGATGTTGAAGATTCTAACCACAATAGTTTTCCAGATTTATAATACGTTACATATGAGAGATGTCAAGCAAACTATTGCGAGTTCGCCAGTTTCTATCTATCGCCAATTTCTATCTATCTATAAAAAATTTGAAAAATAGAAGAATTTCCACGATGCACGAAATCTTGTATTTAATTTATATATGTTGTGCCAAGCCACCCATTGAAAGTCTGCCCCTTATGCTCTAAATGTTCACATGAATTTCAAAGTTCTTCATGTAAAATTTGAAGATTCTAGCTCTAATAGTTTCTCAGATATACGAATTTTTCTATTTGATTCATGTGGGGGCTTCAAGCTCCCCACATTGAGAATTTTGGAATTTAAATTGAGAAAACTCCAATTAAAATTGGGAAAGTTTCAAATGAAATTGAGAAAATTTTAAATGAAATTGAGAACCTTTTATTTATATAACACATTTTAAAAACAAATAATAAAGAAATTCCAATGTTAATCCACCGATTGTCGAGGAACAATGGCTGGTTCATGAATACTATGTAGGAATACCACTCAAGCGATATGTGTTGGTAGTCTGAATACGTCAAAGTAAAAAAAAAAAAATATTAAAATGTGGTCTGAATTTCCCGCTGATTAGGTTAAAAGTTCAGATCTCAGTATAAATTTGATTCAGAATTTTCTCAATTTCAAATTGAAAATCACAATTTTAATTGGAATTTTCTTAATATGAAATGGAAATTCTCAACTTCATGTGGATTTTTCTCGATTTAATACGTAATGTTCTCAATTTCACTTAAAAATGGTGTAGACTATAGACTAGACTATAGACTAGACTATAGACTAGACTATATACTAGACTATAGACTAGACTATAAAGTAGAGTATAGACAAGACTATAGATTAGACTTTAAACTAGACTATAGGGTAGACTATAGACTTTAGACTAGACTATACACTAGAGTCTAGTCTAAAGTCTAGTCTATAGTCTTGTCTATAGTCTATTCTATAGTCTAGTCACTAGACTATAGAATAGACCATAGACTATAAACTAGAGGGGCATTTTAAAACATTTTCGAGCAGGTTTTGTACTTTATCCTACCCGATTTCGATGAAATTCAGTACTCACATTCTTCATGTAAATACGGAATTTGAAATTCTCCAAAATTTCTATATCTTATATATTGTTGAGTACACAATAAGCAATCTTATGTGAAGGAATAAAGAAAATGGAAGGTACATTTTTTTTTTTTGAGATATCCTTGACTAAAGGACGTTGTTTGATGTCATCATCCTCACATTAAAAATGTAATATTTTAAATAAAGTATTGGGGACTAAACGATTAAAATCGGATAAATAATTAAAAAGATATACGTGAAATTTAATACTTGTTGAAAAAATTCAAAATCCTACTTTTTTGTTCGAAAATTTTTGAAATTACCCTATATATAGTATGTTGTTGTCAACCAATTAATAACAAAATAAACAACAAAAATAATTATTATCTTTAATTTAGGCAATTGCTTAAATTTCTATTAAATGTCACAACTACTTTGTCTCAGATATCAATTTTATAAAAAATAAAATAAAACCAGTCATTTTAGCGACTATTTACATTTTTGTATGAGGTGATAACACTCTTTTTCAGAAAATAAACAAAGAACCTAATAAAAATAGTTAAAATTAAAAGTAAGTGGTAAGTGTTTTTTTCTTGCATTAAATTATACGATATACTGTTGCTGTAAAACATGGTTATGTTTGAATCAAATTATTTTTGGACTGTTTGATAAAACAATACCATCAAATATTTGTTCATGTCTGAACATGAAATTAATATTGCGTTTGTTTGACGCAACTTCAAAAATATTTTATTACAATTTGTTTAATTTGTTTCGTTGCTGAGAAATTCATATTGCGTGTGTATAAGTGAGAATAACACAATGCCCGCAGGAGCATGTTTGGCCACCGTTGATATAGATATAGATTTTCGGGGTTTTAAATCACACATACGCAGCGAGCTCTCTTTTGAGCTCTCTGGTTTTTCTTCTTTCACACGTACGTAACTTCCAAACTAAGAGAAGTTTTTTGATGAAGTTACACATAGAGAAATCTCCGTTGTTAAACATAAAGATAAGTTCTCGTTTGCCGAAAGTTATTTTTGCATATGAGAATGTTTGATATTTAATAGCCAAATTCACGATCTGGTGTATTTTTGCAATTGTATTTATGCAATTGTAAATATTTCCTATAAATTGTGAACAAATTTTACTTGTTGCATTTGCAACAGTATTTGTAAAACACAAAATACACATCAGAAATAAAAATTTGCTTTTAATTTTATGATATTTTTTACAATTTATAAAAATGCCTAATGGAAGTTTGAAGGAACATAAATTGGACTCTTTACTAGACGAGGCTGCCGAAGAGATTATGTTCATTGATCAATTCTATTTAAAATGTAATTCATTGATAATATTTTTATTTAGATATAGAAAGTAATGATGACGCTGTAGACGAAGTTTTAGATGAGTTGGTGGAAAACTTATTTGTAGTGATGGAGTGTCGTCGAGGTTTTTTTTAATACAGTACCAAAGTCGGTAATTTGGAGAGATGATATATTAACAACATTGGATGAAAAAAGATTTCGGAAAATGTTGAAAGGGTTGAAAGGAAGCAATTCTTGATGCTGTGTGATCTAATAAGGAATGATCCAGAGTTTACAAAAGCCCATTCTTCCAAGAAATTTACTGTTGAGTTACAACTAGCAATAGTGCTATTCCGTTTGGGCTCATCAGGAGAAAGTGCATCTATCAAGAAAATAGCAACTATTTTTGGAGTGGAAAAAGAATATTCAAAGCGTTTTTACGCCTACAACCGGAATATATTTACTAGCCTGACGAAAGTGAAAGCAATCAAATTGTGTTAAATACATTTGACGAACTCCCTTTCTGTATCGGGTATATTGATGGAACTGAGATAAAGTTGGCAGAATCACCAGTCGAAGATCATACGTATATCCAGAAATCACGTATATTCAATAAAAGCCCAAGTGGTTTGCGACTACAAACGTAAAATACGTCATATATTAGTTGGGCACCCTGGAAGCTGGCATGATTCAAGAATATTATTCAAACATAAAGAGTATTTTGTTTCACAACAATGGATTCCAGGATATTCTGCATACCCTCTATCGGGATTAATTATTACGCCCTATCGAAGTAACTCCAGACAGCTATATAAAAACGACCAGATCGCTTTCAATTTAAGACATAGTAAATAGCGGGTCAGAGTGGAGCATTGCTTTGGCATTTTAAAAGAAAGATTTGGGAGCATGAAAGAACCAAGAATGCGTGTGGCAAATAAAAATAGTCATAAGTTATATTGCGACTGGCTCCTTGTTTGCTGTATTCTCCACAATATTTTAATCAACGATTGCCCAAGTTTTAATGAAACATATTTAATACTGGAAAACACTGGTGAGGATTCTAATGAAGAAGATTTTTCGAATAATTCTGGTGAAATGAAAAGAAAAGCCATATATTCATTAATGTTTTCATAAATTTATTTAATGCAATATCTATAATGCAGCGAAATAAAAAAACAAATAAATTCATTTATAAAATGAAATTAAACAAAATTAAATTAAGAAGGTACTT